TAAATTTATAACAAGAAATCTTGTCTAATGATTGTGGTTTTATGATTAACTCTATTGATAAATTCAAAATGTGCCGCAAATTTATCCTAATGATAAATTCGGACGTGTTTAAGAATTTACTCACATAGTAAATTCAAAGGTGGAGCCCATGTTGGAATATTATTAAGTCGACCATTGATTATACAATAGATTGATATTTTATATATTTTGTTTCTAGCGTTGACTGTGAGATTTCTTACCAAACGTTTCATTGGCGAATACGACTCTTCGCAAGGTAATAGGCATGCTTAACACCAGTTAGTCTGCATCTAAGAAAGTCGCAGTAAATGTTGCTCAGGAGCGTTTCACAGGTTTCCATCTAATCACCAGCTTCATCGGCACGTCATCGGGCCATCCTGGTTCGTTCAGATACTCATTGCGAACATTGACGTTTCATCACTTTCATGCGAGAATAAAATCAATAAACAATGCTCTTATCAAAATAGGCCATGTTTTTATCTGCGACTGTTCAGTGAGGTTTAGATTTGACTTCCATTACTACCATACGTACCTTTTCTGACTAACTACGCATGCTTAATCAGGTTGATTAAACGCATGAGCTGATTGGGCAATGGGCCCTTGATGCATGTAACGGCAGTTTTATACCAAATCATTTTTTTTTAATTTGATTGTTTTACTTGTTTTTATAAAAAGAAACATTAAAGTAATAAACGACAAATTTTGAAATGCTAGCAAAACTACCAAAAGCAATCACATGATTAGAATAATGCAATCAGATCATGAGATGTATGTAATCAGAAAAAGTTTTCAGCCAAGTATCAAGCTACACATTTTATTCAACTGTTTGATATTTTTTATTTAACTGTTTGTTTATTAAACTTGTTGAGTTACCTGCTGACACACAACACACACACACACACACACACACACACACACACACACACACAAACAAACAACCCAGCCCAGGTGAAATGTAACATGGCGGAGGTAAAATAATGCGCCTGAAGTTATGTTGATGCTCACGAAATCAGTTTGTAAAACATGCGACATTTTTCCTTATCTAGAATTCACGTATACATTTGAAACTTCAATAGACAATAACAAAGTATCAATGGAAATACTTGACGCCACATCACCGGTAAGTCATATTGTTTCTGATTACCACATAAGGTTAAAAATATTATAAAATTGGTACACGACGAAGTACTGAATATGAAGTTAATAAACATTTTAAAATATTATCCAAAATCATTCTTTTACCAATCTCGTACCCAGAGCCATCGTTGAGTGGTACGAGGTTGGTCTTTTACTAGGTGATGATCATTCGCACAAATACACTTTTCTAACAATGACGTCAAACGCGGAAACCCAATTTATCTGATATCCCACAGGACAATGCAAGATTGCAAGTCGTTGGCGAGTCAATACATTTCATGAAATGCATTGCGAATGAATTGTTGCTAAAAATTGTCCCTTGGGACATCGCATCAAGTGTTTTTCCGCGTTTGACGCCATTATAAGAAGGTCTATAAATTATAGGTTGCGTCCTTTAAGAGGTCGCATCAGGAATCCCCAAACAAAGGTCCCCGACAGGGGCCTAACGGTTTTTACAGGCAATACAATTTCTTCCATCTGTTCAACCATAGCCTATCGAAGGGAAGATGGCTGTGAAACTCATTAGAATAACAATATAACTCATTATCTATGTTGGTCAACGTTTATTCATAAATTTGGTCCTTCGCCGTCATGTGTGTATTGTACTTTTGCCCAACTGACCAATAGGAATGTTTTAGGAAAATCACCTACCCGTGACTCGAACAATAGGGAAACTGGAAATCGCTATTGGTGGATTTGGTAAAAATACAATACACACGCGACGGTGAAAGGACCAGATTTATGAATAAACGTTGACTAACATAGATAATGAGTTGTATTGTTATTCTAATGAGTTTCACAGCCATCTTCCCTTCGATAGGCTATGGTTCAACGCGAGGGGTTTGGAAACATGCTACCCCGAGAAATGTTTTTTTTGAGTCTCGGAAATATTCTCTGCATTTAAGGGTACTTTGCGTCAAGAATACAATAATTGTCTTACTATACAACACTAGATGCACTACAAAACACACTTGTTACAAAACATAGTTTCTTCCCCAACTGTGGAGGAAGGTGGCGTTTCCAACAAGGGGATTGTATTCCCAATGAACCTCACCACACACCACACCCCCCTCACAGAGTAAAAAATAAACTACGATGTTCACATGAGTTCGCTCATGAAGCGCTCCTCTTTCAAGGTCGTTTTCCACTAGGCGGAATTTTCGGCGCGGATCTATTCAACCTATTCTTCAATAATAAGCTTATATAAATAGCCTTGAAAAAGTCTGTGTTAAAAACCAAAACGTTTTGTAGGAATCAATCTCCGTCCGCCAAAAGATTTATGGTAGGCATGCACTAATCATTACAGTGCCGGTAACTCTTTGCATAATTAGATCTGTAACAATATACCTGATCGTACATTGATGTGATTATTTAGACATGTTTTCGCTATTCTTGTTAATATTTTTGCCAATCACAACCAGAGCCGGCGAAACAGGGCGCCTATAGCTGCGATATAGCTACTCCAGAAGTAAAAATGGGAGGCTATATATAACCCCTGTCCCCCAAAAAGATCAGAGTTTGAGAATTTAATATGAAGGTGTCAGATTCTTCCCGGTCTGAAATGCAAAATGAACAAAGTGACCTGGTTCCCGTTATATAGTTAAATTTCCCCCAGAACGCAGTAAATGCCATTTCAAAGAGAGACTCCAGCCATTTCCAACATTTTCCATGCCGTGAAGCATGCAGTAAACACGAAGCTCTAGGAAGATGTTCTGTGACTGGTTGACTACGACAATGACAAAAGACGTAATTGGCTTACATAAACAAAGGAATATTGTTCTTGCTTCGTTCTTTAGAAAATCCGTTCTATAGCTTATTCTTTTGTCATTGTCATAATCAACCAATCACAGAACATCTTCCTAGAGCTTCGTGCCGACCCGAAGCATGCACTGGGACCCCCTAGTATTTGTCCGCCACCAGTGGACAAAACCTTTCGACCAATTTTATTTCTTTCTACCGCAGCCAGACAAGTTAACGGAGAAAGTGTTATGGGCGGATGGTTTTCTTCTCGTTTATTCTATAACGGACGTGAACAGTTTCAATGATGTAATTAACTTGAAACACGAAATAGTTGCTATGAGATCAAACTACAGACCCGCCATATTTATAGTTGGAAACAAGAGTGATCTAACCTGTGAGCGTTGTGTGTCTAAGGAATTTGCTTTACAAATTGTACAAGAATTGAATTGCCCGCTTTACGAGTGTTCGGCTTCAGAAAATTATGAAGACATTTTGCAAGTGTTTCATGAACTATATAATGAGACAATCAAGAAAAAGAAAGAAAGGAGACTATCAATTTCACCAAGACCACTGAGGAAAGCTTTTAACAAAGTTTTTGGTAGCAAGACACCAATGTAGAATTATACTTAATATGCACGAAGTTGCCATGTTTACTTGACTTGTTGGAAGCTGTAAGGATATACTTCATTTTGATCGAAAACTTATTTACTTCGAATTGGATTCAAACCAGTACACTCATACATTCGTCTTTCAAGAACACGATTAAAAGTAGCAACCGCTTTCCCAACCTCGTACCCAGGCTATTTTTTCTCATACTCTGGTGCATTCTCGTACCCAGAGCCTTTCTTACTCGCGTTCGACCGAGCGCGACGAGGGGCTCTGGCCAAAACCATATCCGAACTGGCATCTGATTGGCTAGTTCTAATACCAGATATTGTTTTCTTACCATGTTTTTATGGTATCCGGTTATGGATTTGGCCAGAGCCCCTCGTCGCGCTCGGTCGAACGCGCGTAAGAAGGGCTCTGGGTACGAAAATGACTCTGGTGCCACGGAGAGACCCTAGGTGCGAGGATGCTGCTTTCCTTCATTTACCGAGCCTTTTTTTGGATCGGTGCGCAGCTGTTTTAAAATCCTCCTCCAATTGGACTGCGATTTTCTAAAGAACGAAGCAATTTCATTGTTCTGAACACAGAAGCAGCAATTTGAAATGGAGCCAATGAAAATCGCTGTTTAAAAAAAATACGTTGCATATGGGGGGTAAATCATAAGTTAATAGATACAAGCAAATGAAAATATTTTTTATAACACCTTTAGTCTTCACCTAGAACAAACGATAAGAATGTTCCAAGTTAGTTCAGTAAAGTTCAGTCAGGGTGACATTTGAAGTTCACAGAAACGAGGTTTGCAATATCTTTCCTCTCGCCTCAGTTAAGATGCAGTTTATGTAACCAGAATACAAAAAGGAAGAATAGTTAATACAACTCATCATCTATGTTTTTTTTCTCCAGGTTTATTAAAAAAATCTGGTCCTTCGTAGTCACGTGCGTATTGCATTAAACATTGCTATTGGTTGATGTGGCTAAAATACAATACACACGTGACGACGAAGGACCAGATTTTCGCATAAACCTAGACTAACATAGTTAATGAGTTGTATTGTAATTCCACCGAGTTTCCAAACCATGCATTCTATGAACTATATATGTTGGAAGGTAATTTTCACATTCGTGTAACTATTGCATAGGAAACTGGTTACGTAATTCCAATCGATTAAATTTATTTATAGATTTAAAGTTTGCTTTGGTAATGAGGATTTCCCTAAGTATTTATGCTCGTGTTTTCTATTTCCTGCATTTTGTTTTACATATTTGTCACAATTGACTACTGTATAAAACCGCTCAGTAAATGATTGAGTTAATTAGCAGACTTATAAAGGTTGATTTCCACTGTCGCGTTTTTCATACGTACGTATACGCATGTAAAACTTTAAATTCGTTTAAATGTTACTTATGAAATAACCAAATAAATAAAGCAACAGAATCTAGTGTTCCGCAAGTTTTAGTATGCATTTGTTAACTTATTTGTAAAATATTTTAAAAATAGAAGGATTCAAAAGTTAGAAGGATTTCGAAAGTCTTAGTGCGTTCTATCAATTAAGAATATATCACGACAAAAGTTATCATTAAAGGAATACCGAATGGTTTTCCGTGCAGGATTGCGTGATCCATGCACGAGGGATGTCGCGAGACTTTCGGAAAGCGTAAAAATACTCGAGCCGCAGGCGAGTGTATTTTTACGCTTTCCGAAAGTCGAACAACATCCCAAGTGCATGGATCACGCTATCCTGCTTGGAAAACCATTTGGTAATTGTTTTATAAAATAACTACAGTGAAACAATGACATTTTGTGAATCCCGCGAAAATCCCGCGAAGGCATTTTAATTCCTCGTGCAGAATAGCCTGATCCTGCACGGCTATTAACCAATCAAATTGCGTGTTTCACTGTAGTTATTATATAATGCGCATTACTGTTTGCAACATTCATTCATTTGCACAAGTGGATTATCACGGCACACTAAAATTAGGTATACGGTTTCATATTTCCAACGCACATTTATCTCAGTAACGCATAGCAGCCACGAGCAGGGGTGTAGAATAGGGGGGGGGGCTCAGCCCCCTTGTCAGAAGCTCAGTTGCAATGACATTTTCAATATAGTTATTATTTGAATAATGACATTTTCAATACAGTTATTATTTGAACAATGACATTTTCAATACATTTATTATTTGAACAATGACATTTTCAATACAGTTATTATTTGAACAATGACATTTTCAAAATCTGGATACTAAGATACTTAACGGCCATGTTACACGAGGCAATTTTTGCTGCAACTAATTGCAACGCAATGATAATAAAATGAAAATATTGGAAAAGGGAAACACGGGACATATTTACAATACCTCTGTATATGTACATTTCTACATAAAATGATTCTGTGCCGAAATTACATTGCAAGTTGCAGCAAAAATTGCCCCGTGTAACATGGCCTTTAGGGATAAAATAGTTTACGATTTAGGGAAAAACATTTATGCATTCGTATCATATCTACAAAATCATAGAACAATTGAAGCTGTTAATCCATAACCAGTAAAGTTCTTTGCAGCTGTAGTGCTGAAATGATGCGGTATGTTAGTATTAGTAATCCGTACTTGATAACCATGCTCATCTTATTAGGTCGTGTATGTGGCTCCAACATGAAATAGCTTCGATTCAGTATATCGGAATATTTTATTTGAAGTTAAGTCCTTTCTTCAAAAACACTAATTGAAGAATTACTAGAACCAAAAATATATATTGGAACTTTCCATGTTTTAATATTGTTGCACCCTCCCTTCTCGTCACCTTCACTTCTTTTCACCCTCTTAAGAGCCACTGGCCACGCGTTATTATTAATGTAATCTTAATAATGACCTATAGTCTGAGCGCTTTTACGATCATGTTAAGGCGGATTTCCATTCAGTGCAAAATGTCGCACGATCGCCTTTTTGCGATCACTGTCTTTTGAAATACAAACAGTCAAGCGGAACAAATCGCATTAGCTGTAGTTGACTGCACAACACATCTAAAGCGAAAGCGATCGCAAAAAATCGATCGTGTGACATTTTGCACTGAATGGAAATTCGCCTTTATCGGTATCACAAAAACCGAATTCAATAACTGTTTTAATACATCATTGCATTTTCAATCAGTAAAATCTTTCTCAAACGATGGTTTGTAGAACAAAACAGAATATAGTTGTCAGACCAGTGAACAGATTTAAAACATGAAACTAACAGAACAAAAATATTACTATACATCTATTAAAGTTCCGATAAAAATGTAAAAAAAACTCAAAATCAAATCCACAAAAACGTCGTTCGTTCGTGTTCACTGCCTTTTTCTTGTTTTTATTCGTGAATATAAAGTTATCGTTTGCTATAAAAATACATACCGCTGGCTCGACCTAAAGAAAACACGGTTTTCTGCTAGCAGTTTTGGTGCGTGATTTCCATATTTAGCTGTAAGCTACTGGCCAACCAGAGGTCACGTGCGTAGTGACTACAATGTTTTATAAAGGAAATGACAAATGCACCACCAGTTTTGAAAATTATAACAACTTAGTTTTCTAACAAGTCCTTTTGATTAAATGTTTCCATAAAATCTCAGTCAGGTTTTTCAGCTAGCTAGACAGCCGACTACATGGAGTAACCAACCTCCTTCCTAGGCTCTTACCTCTTGTGGAGGAAAAACCCTGGTAGGAGCTGGTCACGTGATCTGCTAAAATCTAGCAGATTTTTAATTGACTATCTTGCATTCCTTTAAAATCAAATCAAATTAATAAACTTGCAACATAAAATGCAAGTTGTAAATCGAAGTAAAAATATCAAATATTTATCATCATCATCATCAATTAAAAATATGCAAGATTTTCGCAGATCATGTGACCAGGGTCTTTCCTCCACAAGAGATAAGAGCCTGGGAACGAGGTTGTAGCACAATACCCAATACTTCGGGGACCGGTGCATATCTCATAAATGCGTCGTATTGTGATAGGTCTATCCAGTCTGTTACGAGATCATACTTCAAGCCATGAACTGATTTCACAATAGTCGACTCATAACAGACTGGATGCACCATATCAAAACTTAAGCCAATAGACCTTGGAAGTGTTTACCTCACGCAATTTTCAATACAGTGTGGGATACATCTGGTGATCTGGATAAAAAATTCATTGTTTGACAGTGAGGTGGCGATCTTCTAAGGTGAATTGGAGAGAGACGTGGAGCATGGTATGCAAATTGCAAACTTCAATGATTATTTACGGTTTCTTTTGAGTTTAATGGTATATTCAGGTACGCGAATCAATGTATTCTGTTCAAAATGACAATGAACCAAAATAATACATGTCTCAAAAGTGTAAACACAGTAAATATTGAAGTGGACTTTTTGCATACCAACTTGGGCCTAATCGCATCGCCTGGAATCAAGTACAAAAATGTCCCGACTTTGACAAGTTTCGACAATTTTCTTTCTGTGGGAAAGGATGCAAAACGAACACTACCTATGCATTGTTAATAATTCAAACAAAAAAATAGCGCAAGTAACTGGAATATCTCGGGCTCTGTGTAATCTGTATAAATGTATTGAAATAGATTACGTATAAAATACACATTTTTGTACATACGTAAAAGAGGATACAAATACATTTGTCTTCGTCTACAGATATCTGTTTCGCAAAAAATTACCAAGAATTAATTGTTGGCTATTAGCCACCATAAATAATAAACTTACATTATACCCTTCCACTGCTTTGTAGGTGGGAAAAGTTGTAACATAGAAAATCAGATATCATTCACGCTTTCAAAAATTATTTGAGCCACCAGCCAGTTCCCACTGTCCGCCACTGATTTAAACTGCAGCGACAGTGTCAAATCTTTGGTTGCGAATTTACCCTTTACTTTAATGTCATTCCTCCTTGAAGGCCGATATCTCTAGGGATATTCCTTGAATGGGAATGGAATCCCCGGATTGATTTCTTTAGAACGCCTAAACATTCCGCTTAATCGTATTTGAACTTTTTTGATAATATTATCCTCTTTCAATCTTTTCCAACAAACATTCAATATGATTAGCCATTATTGGCTGTCCACGTTTTGTTCTTTGATTTAACCTTCTCTTTGTTTCCCGCCTTCTTTCCTCTTTTTGCTTTAAATCTTCTCTACGTTTTTGTCGCATTTCTTCTGCTTCCTAAAAAACAAGACATTATTACCACATTTTTCCGATCACTTTTATTTTAGTAACAACAATTTTTTATCTTTCCCCATCGAGCCAGGAGACAGATGAGTTCCTATTCGTAACTTGCAATACATGCCATCTTGGTTGATTTTAAAAACAAAAATAAATTCTACACTTTTCGTTTACGCCAATATTTAGCCAGAGAGCATAAAACTCTTCATACAATATGGTAAGCTGCATTTAAGGTGGCTCAATACAGTTCTTAAAAAAGTGGAATTTAGATGCGTATTTTTGGACAATTATTTCTTGTTGATAAAAAAATTATCTTGCTTATATAAAACTACATCTAAAGAGTTTGAATTTTTGCACAAAAGTTATGCAACTGCCGTTGCTATGGCAACAATGACGTCCCAAGAGGGCGGGTATTTTGGCTTTAAAGTAATTTAACTCGTAAACGACATCGGTGACCCCAAATTTAATTTTAAAAAATGATTTCTCTTAATTTAATACATTATTTTGACAATTTAAAAAAATTATGTGGAGCCAAGAAAAAATTGTTATGAATAATTCATTTTACGTAATTTTAAAAATTTCGGCTCCACAGAGTTTTTTTAAATTGCCAACGTAATTCAATGTACTAAGACAAACCATTTTATGAAGTAAAATTTGGGGATTACCGATGTCGTTTTCGAGTCAAATTACTTTAAAGTCAAAATATCCGCCATAGTTAAACGTCATTGTTGCCATAGCAACGGCAGTTGCGTAACTTTTGTGCAAAAATGCAAACTCTTTAGATGTTGTTTTACATATAAAGTAGGATGCTTTTTGTTTTTGAATAAGTAATACTTGTCGAAACATACGCACCTAAATCACAAATTTTCAATTTTTAAAAAAAACTGTATTGAGCCACCTTAAACCTTAAGATCTAGGATGGCAACGTGACGACGACGGCTAGTAATACAATGAAATTTTAAATCATAAATGAATAATTAAAATCCCATGAGAGATTTACAGTGGACGTCGTCCACGGTCTGTTTACGATGGGTAATCCAGAGCTTTTAAGCCCTGATCAAACGAGAACGCAAGTCATCGCAAGTGAACTTGTTCTAACTTGCCCTGAATTGCGATGGGACCGATCAAACGATACGCAAGTTATCGCAACAATTTGCAATATTTGGCCCGTGTGCGGGTAATTTTGTAATTTTGCAAAGTTGTAAAAATCTAAACAAAACATGGCCGTCATTTAAACTCATTTAAAACGAATGTAAAAACATTTGAAAATGCCATGTAAAATGAAGCAAAAAGCTGCCACATCATTGTGTTATTTTCTCTACTTGATGAAGACGAAACGTCTCAGGTTTGGAAACGTGGGAAAACAAGAGAACGGATTAAGCGAAGACCAGGAAAGGGTCATTTTATAGACTATAGGGACCATGGTGTCCATGGAAAATGGTCTCAAAAAACTTGCTTTAGCTTACACTTCTGATCAAACGTATCGCAAGTGCTCGCAAGTTTAAAAAAGCTTGCGATGAAGTTTGAACCTGCTCAAATCATTCGCAAGTCAACGCAAGTTGGTGGTCAAACGAGGCGCAAGCAATTGCACGTTAAAACTTGCGACGGCTTGCGTTCTCGTTTGATCAGGGCTTTACGTGTACGACGTTTGCATTTTGGTACGTAAGAAGTGGACATTCAGAAAATTGGTTCAGTACTAATGTGGAACTCTACTCAATAGACAGCCTCTGTTTTGATCTCTTCAAGCTGTGTTAAATTCATACGATTGATAATATACGAAAACAATTTTATGAGTTGTTTCTCGCAAAACAGGAACCGTCAGCAAATCGATTTGCCCATATGTTTCAGTCCTATTTTCTGAATTTTCCGTTCTGAAGCAACTAGTCACCAGGCTCTCACGCGGCGACAAAATTTAATATGCAGAAAATATTTCTATGTAATTAATTTTGGTCGTTCTTTATGCTTCAAAATATTTTTATTGTTATCAATACAAGAGATATGAAAAAGTTTTTGCCCAGCATTTTTCGCTATTAGTATGTATGACTAATAGTCGTTATTGTTCATGTTGTGTTTTGTCACTACAGAAAACATTACCCATGTACTTGTACAAAATAGCCACTTGTTTTTTATGATAAACCTATAAAGCTAGCTACGTGGTTTTGGGTGCAAATACTAATAGTCATAATTATACTATGATCATTTATCAACTTAAGTACCGATGATTGTGAAAAATTCTGTGTTAACATCTTTTTCAGAAAAGAATTGTTTATATGCCTCGTGTTTTCTGTCGTCTCTCCTATGTAAACAATAAAGTATTGTGAGGACTAAACGAACAAAATAGATTACATAGAAACATATTCCACTCCTTGTCAGACGCCTTATTGAATCTCTTGGCCGCATCAGACAAAACCTTGTGACTAGTTCAATGCAGAACGGAAAATTCAGTTTGTCAAATAAATAGGACTCTGATGTTTCCTGTTTTGTGAGAAACTAAATTTGGTAACTCACAAAAACTCTTTCAAAAAGTTTATTTTCAAAATTCAGTATCGAAGAAAATCGGGTTGTCAATAAAAGTCTAAGCACAAAAAATCGGGTTTGTCATAAATGAAGTAGAACAACAGAAATTCAGCTTTATTATAAAACGAAGTGGTCCATAAAATTTACAACAGCACTGCAGATTTGTAACAACATTTGCATTTATACACATGATTCGTTATATTTTATGTTAAAATACACTTAAAATGAACTAGAGCAAAGTAAAGTAAAGTAAAGTAAAGTAAAGTAAAGTAAAGATTTCGATGTTGACTCCTATGGAACTAAAATCTTATGATTGCAACAGTAACTTGCATTAAAATATTTATGGATGGAAATATGTGAAATTTTAGAATCTCAATTCTGATTGGCTAAGGGCAATTAACAAAACAAGAGCAGAGCCTGGAAACGAGACAGGAAAATTGGCGGCATGTATTGCAATGTATAATCATTCATTTTTGTGACGACTTTTGTGCAATTTCAATTGAAAATCGTACGTTTATATAGGGCGTTGTAAAAACCCGGAATGGCGGAATATCACGGAATATGGCGGAATATCACAGAATATCACGGAATATACCGGAACATCACAATATTTTGCGATGGTAGCCATGCGACTGTTTATAAACATGGACGCCTGACAACATATTTTATTACAAAAGTGATGGATCTTTCCCATTTTGACGGTAAGTAACAAACAATAACTCTACACTGGAAGTTTTATATGTTGTTTATATCATCATTACGAGTGTTTATCAAAAATTTTGAATCAATATGATTAATTCCTCCTGAGTTACAGCGGCTTGAAAAACAAAAGTGCTGACGTCAGCATTATTTTCGAACGCCTTCAGAACTGTATTATACACAAAATTTAGTTAAAATTGACCATTTTATACCACCAAGCATTTATCCAAAAATCAAATTCCAAAATAAAGGCAAGTTTGAGCCAATTGTCTTAACCTTATTAACCAATAATTTTTACCTAAATTTTGTGTTTAACACAGTTCTGAAGGCGTTCGAAAATAATGCTGACGTCAGCACTTCTATTTTTCAAGACGCTGTAACTCAGGAGGAATTAATTATATTGATTCAAAATTTAAGGTGAACACTTGGCGTAATAATGATATAAACAACATACAAAACTTCCAGTATAGAGTTATTGTTTGTTACTTACCGTCAAAATGGGAAAGATCCATCACTTTTGTAATAAAATATGTTGTCTACCATCCGAAAATATTGTGATATTCCGAGAAAATGTCGTGATATTCCGTGATATTCCGCCATTCCGGGTTTTCACAACGCCCGTTTATATAACAATTTAAATACAAGGAGCACTTCAACTAAAAATAACTATAATAATATGGTGTGTTTTATATAACAGTTAATACATTACAGCGGAACCTCTCCTTATACACACTTCTCTAATACGGACACGTCTTCTTTTTGCAACATCTAATGTACCGACATAGATAATATTAATACTCATATATTTTCTCGAAAACAAAAATTCCAGAAAACGGACTTTGCATACTGTATCCCAACGGTATCCGTATCGAAGCTGAGGTCTAACTGTAAATTTTTACATGTACAACAGTGATCTGTGATCTCCATCTAACAGATAAACAATGGTAAACATTAAAACATACCTTCCGTGATCGATCTTTCTCAGCCTTATCCTGCTCGTATTCGTCCCGGGTTGTTTGGTATTTGTTCTTCACTTTGAAACGGCTACCTCTAAATATACACCATAGAAACACATTTATCTCGAACGGGTGAACGAACGAAAATTTTTGGATCAGAATAGAATACGATTTTTCAGCAACCTTTCTGACGACTTCAATTAATCGGTACAAAGTGAGTTGAGAAACTAAGTCAAGAAGTGCAAAGTGAAGGCGCAGAAAAATATCAGAGAACATCTTTTCAAAATAATTATGTTTGGACACGAACATGACAGTGCTTGCACTGTATTTCCACATATCATACATGTTGTGTTATAAGACAGTCACAAAAACAAACATACCTATTTACTTTTGGGCTAATTTCCACGATTTCATCAATGACCTGCAAAAAAAGAAGATGTGCTATTACCAACAATGCACGTGATAAAAGCACGATTTCTCGTACAATTTGAAAAAACATACACTGAGACTGGATAGTATAGGGTTAGGGTTAAAAAACATACACTGACACTCACGCGTGTAGTCCTGTGTGTCCTGAATTGGCGGGACGGGGGGTACAATATGATATTTTGGAAATTCTAAATTTTGTTGAGGTTTACTCGAGTAATTGTGGGACAAACATTCGACATTATTCTTATTAAAAACAAAAAATATTCTGAGCGTCTCAAAAAGTACGGAATTCAAGGTTTCTGTACTACTTCTTGAAGATGTAAAGCCGGTGGTGTACCATCAAGGGAAAACTACATTCAGTGGTATGATTGGTTAGCGAAAAAATATTGCTGTGAAATATAGGACGCGGCGGACCCAGGTTCTGGGGGCCCCTAGAAATGTTTTGTTGGGCCCCAGTCATTTTTGGGGGTTAAATATTTCCGCGCAAAGGGCAAGATATTTGTGGGGTTTTTTGACAAAGTACCGAAATTTGGTATGAAAAATTGAGGTAAAGTCACTGGAAAGCAATTACAACAATTGCAATTAGCAATTTGTTGTTCTCCGGGAAAAATTTTTTCCGGAAAAAATTTTGAAATAGGGGCCCCTAAAAAAATTTTGCCCCGGGCCCCCGCCAACCTCTCGGCGGCCCTGAGTGTATTAGGATATCTTAAGGGGATAGGGGGTTTAATTTCCAATTTCCTCTGTGGGGGAGGTTTGGATGTTTTCTGGAATGATTCATTTACATATTTTGTTTAGTTAAAGGTTTGCATTGAAAATAATTTACCCAACCATAAGATTTGTTCCGAAAAGTAATTACAATACCCTTCATACATACATCCAGAAAAATGGCTTACCCAATCCATTCCTCTTCGGTACCACCCCGGTATAAATAATGAACACTCCCTTAGTACGCATCTGATTGATTAATCGAATATATCAAACGCATCTGATTGGTTAATGATAGCTTAATGGTAGCGGTAGCACAAGTCAACGTACCCGTTCTACAAATCCCGACTGCCTACAATTTCAGACTTCAGCATGTAAAACATCTACCTATCAAAAATCCTATCTAATAAGCAACCTCGTACCCAGGGCCTTTGCGCGGTTCAGAGGCTCTGGTACGGGAAGCAAAGGCCCTGGTAAACACTGGTCATGTGACTCCAAAAATATTGGACATTTCGTAATAATTTAGTTTTCAATCCGGGGGGAGCGGAGCCGATTGATTTTATCAAACATGGCAGCGCGAAGGAGCGACGTTTTCGAGTTTTTATATTATTATGATAAATAAAACTTTCCTAGTGAGATTTAAGAGTGGGTATATATTATCTATGCATTCTACGAGCTTTCTTTCAACAAATTACGGAATAGCTAACGGTAATACTTATCAAAGATCGAAGGACGAAGATCAAACTGAGAGAAAACTAGTCGAGTGATCTGTCTTTAAACTGTCTATTTTGTATCCAATGCAGCTGCTTGTGTGCGACGTTTTATAAAGAATTAAACAAACATTGTTGATTATAAGTAATTTTTATGTATTGACCAAAGAATATCACTTGGGATTTTATTGTACTTTTATGGAAGGATAAATCAGAGGGGACATCTATGGAAACGAAATTCTTCATGTGTATTATAAAACATGTAGTTATCAAAGCAGAATATTTTGAAACAATTAACTGGTCGAGTGACAGGTTGGTTTCCGTATGTATGTAGTTTAAAATACAGTTGTGAATGAAATTATACACAGTATCTTGAAACCTTTGTGTGTGTGAGTTAATTTCATATTTATTTTTTTGGGATGTATCATCTATATTTCTGTTTGTCTGGAAGGAGGGGGGGGAGGTACCAATCCTGAGAAATAATATACAGTGATCTTGAAACAACAAATTTACTACGAATCTGATATTAGTGATATGTGACTTAGGAGTCTTAAAGGCAAATAACAGTCTGTATACTGGGTGTGCATTCACCTATTTGTTTACATTTGCAGTTACTGTACATCGGTTCATGATTTATGAAATTTGAACCAAAGCTGTAACATAATATTAGTCACGGTACAAGTCACTAATAATTTTAGGGTAAATATTTTTCTGAAATACTTCATTTGTCAGTTGCATCTTATAGTATATACTGTAAGAATATCTTGAAAAAAAGCTGTAATTGAACCCTGTCTAGTAGCTTTGGTTCAATACAATTGGCAACTGCATGGGCTGTCTTAGAATTCATGAAAGACCTTTGCTACAAACCCAAGAAAACATGCCTTTTATTAGGAGATCAATTAAATTCTCTGCTTCAACCAGATTAACCACACAAATGTTATTGTCACCATTGTGACTACCGACACTTTTTACAAATAATACACTGATAGTTGAACACCGAGACTCAGACTGACATATCATACTTTGTTTTCAAATATCTTTGGCTTTGGTTAAAAACCAACAATTATACATTCTTAAACATTTTAAATACTTCAGCCTACATAATTTCCATGATGGTCAATTATTCCACTTACTGAGAATACTATAATTACCTCTTTACCATGGTCTCAAAAATTGGGTGTTTTGATGCATCATACTTTTGTCAGCAAAATTAAAAACCTATTTAGTCCTATCCGGCTATGCAGAGTTTTATTTGTATTGAGGAGGTAGGGCTTAGAGAGACACAGAGGCTTAATGAATATGGTTGCACTGAATTTTGTCAGTAAGAAAATTTCATTTTTTACATCCTGAAACCAAAAATCACCATATTATGCATGAATTACATATCACTTTCACTTGTCACAGAGTGAACATACCAAATTCAAACAAAATTCACACTGTTTCTAGATGAAATAATCAACTGATTTTTTGGGCAAACAATATAATTCATGAGGGGAAAAAATAAATATTTATATGTGTGCACATAGTTCCAAGATCAGCTAACAGGATTGAAACCAGCTTTCCCAGTTATGCTTGGAGCTGATGAGAACAGTTAGTTTTGAACACAAAATGGCATCATGGGACTTAATTCATCTAGGTGGCAATATATTGCCTTCTCACCAACACAATTGATCAAGTCATACACATTCATTACTGCCAATCTCTTTATTATTTATGTCTCATTACAAATACAATATATTTTCATTATCAGCAGTATCCTTACAACTTGCATGTGCATCACCAATATCATCACAACTTGTATTTCACTACCTAATCATCATCATTATTCTCACCATTCTAATTTTATTAGTCAATCAGAATGAATAAAAAATTTCCTATTTTACACCACTCATATTATCATATATTACTTAATTGTCCAAGGTCAGGGCCATTTCACATCACTCCAGGATCTAAATACCCTGCAATCACCTTTTCGACATAATACTAAAAGAGAAACAAATGTCTTACTGGCACACTGGAATATCATAATTGCCATAAAATAACTGTCATTTGAAACCACATTCTGCTGTAACAGCACAACTGCTCAAGGTTGCAAGGTAAATAATTGGGATGTAGTAAGGCCAGTATTACCAGGGGCGTAGCTAAGGGGGGGTGCGGGGGGTGCCGCACCCCCCCAATGCCGTGTCCGTCGGCACAATAAATCAGTTGTCGGTAACATGAATTGGATCAAGCCAATAGACAATACCTGATTGGAGAGAGATTGTTTGTAGAAAATTTGTAGAAAATGCGAGATCGAAAAGATGGGTATGTTGACTGAAAGCTCCAAGAACTTATTACGCTAATACGCTATTTAATAGTATTATATTTTCTTGCAATTTTGTGAAATATGATACCATAGGAAACTCGAAGTGACATGTGCGTGTTGACTGTTGATGCGTCTGCGCTTCATTTCCTAATTTTGTAAAGCCAGTAAAAGTCTTAGAAATTACACCTAACGGTCTTATATACAATGAGAAATACGAAGATAATTTAAAAGTATGGACAGTAGGAAGCAAAAACGCAAACGGAAGAGAGAGAAACTGACTTGTTTAGTTTGTAATTGGTCGTTTGATGACGATTGGATGTGCTTTTTTGAAATTTATACCATGTATTTTAAAGAACTATTTCGCCTATTTTAATAATAAATTATCTTACTACTCGGATTTCATCGTTGTACATCACTTAAAAATGAATACGGTTCGTTTTGACCACGCCCTAACAACGTGCTGGCCACGCCCTTTTGTCGGCAAAAAGTTGTCTTGCACCCCCCGAAAAGGATAGTCTTCGCTCCGCCCCTGAGTATTACTGGTAACTGTCTTTTTACATTTTGCTCACAACCAAAGTCCAATTATATGGAGCAAAAGTTGGGATATCCAGCCACTTTTTATTACTCACTTAATCGTACACTTGACAAGTAAAATTGTCTGGTGTTGGACAGAGAAAAATAACAAAGTATGCCATATTTGATTATCCCATATGCCCATTACTGTAGTGTGACTACACAGGACTCTCCCTTGGATGGGTAAAATTGGGGGCTATGGAGATTTAATGGCAAGAAGTGAGGGAAACATTTTCTCCAGTAAAATTTATGGGGGCCATTGGAAATTTATGGGGGCCACTGGAATTTTATGGGGGCCACTGGAATTTTATGGGGGCCACTGGAATTTTATGGGGGCCACTGGAATCATCAACCAGAGTATTGAGGCGATAAAGAAAAGAATACCTGACTGTAAAATTAATGTAATCTAACTTTCTTGTCACACAAAGTTGGGTAACGTTGGCATTTTTACACTTTTCTATTAATATCACACTATTCTGTTAAGTATTTATTGGATGAGTCAGAGACCAATGGATTGGTATGAGGGCAGTTAATTTGTAATTTTTGCATGTATTCATTTATTAACTTTTGACTACTATAATGGTCAGCCAGTTAAATAAGTATCTTACTGAGGGTACTGCCTAACTATTTTACATGTCAAATAGAACTCCAGTTATGAAAGATTGAATATTTTCTGAGCAAGCTGGAACATAAAATTTTGATTTTAGTGAACTAAGTGAAGGATATAGATAACCAAAAAATATATCAGGCATGAAGGAGGGTTTATATTCAAAAGCGAAAGATGGAGGAGTAATTAAACGAAGAAAACTAATTATACAAACAGACAGCCACGAATCTGCTGGAATTTAGGATATATAAACTGATAAATATTAAATTAAAAGATATGAGAATATAATTTTATATATGCATCATAAAATCGTTTACCTCGAATATACTGCATTCTTTATAGCATAATTCAAAATCCATGTGACTTCAAAGTTTATAATTTCCATCAAAATAAAAACAAGCCTAAAATCTGCTGTCTGTTGTTTTAAAATATGAATTTTCAAACAATTCTTATACATTCATATTTTAGAAATCAAAGGCAAAATCATTTGTATTTGAAACTTTTATAGTTCGTGCATTGCAATGTTCAGTTGTTCGTCCCCCCCGGGATAACATGACCTAAATAAGGCCAGGTTACAAAAATGTCCAATATTTTTGGACACACGTGACCAGTGTTTACCAGGGCCTTTGCTTCCCGTACCAGAGCCTCTGAACCGCGCAAAGGCCCTGGGTACGAGGTTGTCTAATAAGGACTACTAGAGTCTGGAAGACACTGCCAAGAAATTTAGTTACTATTAATGGCATGGCAACCTTAAAGGAGTTTAAAAGTAAGTTATATACCTATTATAAAACAGCATTAGACAAATGTTATGACGTTGACGATCCACGAACATGGAAAACGGTTTGCTTAAAATGCAATCAAGCTCGCGACCTTACAAGGCCGATAACGTGTTGTTTTTAGATTTTAATAGTTTTCAGAAGTAGCTTTTCGCATTGGTATCTATGGGGCCTATCCAGGGTTTTGCTAAAGGTTTAGGATTGTGAGGGTTAAACGTCTTCTGATTCAGTCAGCTTCCAAAATTAGAAGTGGTCCTGCGGGTCGCAATGTGAAAAGTTGAATCTGATAGTTCGTTAGTAATTGATTTTTTCTATGTACGTATATAGTGTATTTGTCTAACATTTAGGTATCGCAGTAATTGTCGCAAGCTGTTGCGTTTGCCCTGCCAGTTTTTGTGTTAACGTTAATTGTTTGGATCTGGCAAAGTTAATAAATTAAATTAAATTAAGTCAAATCTGAACCTCTATATTGTCCGCTCCCAAGGGAAATGGTTAATTTTGTTTTTCCGAGAGTCTCGATACATTAAGTGCTTTGTTACATAGCGACAAAAGAAAAATCAATAACATTCATACCATGATAAACTTGGAAAATCGTAGTTTATAAACTTGTGAGTTGTGCCGCCATTTTGTTTATTTATTATTTATATATGCAAATTTATAGCCAAAAAGTAACTCTTTGGACCACGGTTAAAGGTGGAGTTACACGAGCAACAAAATTGCTGCAACTTGCAACAAAATCTGATTTCAACGCATGTTAATTGAAAATGTTTACACATACATTACAAATCACAAGGCAACATGTGTCAACATTTCTACTTAACGTATAACATGCGTTGAAATCAGACTTTGTTGCAAGTTGCAGCAATTTTGTTGCTCGTGTAACTCCAGCTAAGACAGTGGTGGATTTAGGGGGGTGCACACCCCCCAGGCTCTGGTCAACAGGGGTGCATGGGGGGGGGGGGCAAAAATGACGTTTATCCTAATTCTAACCAACTTATGTTAAGGAATTCAGTTGCGTATCACCAGTTGACAATAGCGGAATAGCCAATATTAAATATTCTGAATTTTTAAATGTTTTGAGAATCTAAAAATTTTCCAGAATGTTTTCTCAGAATGCTGGAAATGCCATTTCAGAGACCCAAATTTTAAAACTTTTTCGGGGGAGTATGCCCCCGGACCACCCTAGAAATCTCGCGCCTTCGGCGCTCGTTTCGCCATTGGTTAGCACCAAAAAAAAAAAATTTTGCTGGATCCACCACTGGCTTAAGATATCGTGAAAAGTCGCCCGCGCACGCAGCCAATCAGGAAATCGAAAAACATCACCAGCTGTGCTTACATTAAAAAATAAGTATAGGTAATCATGCGATGGCGAGTACAATTTGGAATTAATAGTACGAGTGATGTTTGGACATTTTGCCAAAATTGGAGGGGCCGCCGGGGCGAGTCCAATTTGGCAAATTTCCAAACATCACGATAATCCATAATTGTACGAGCAACATCGCATGATTATTTGTTTATTATTAGCATGACAAAATTGGATACTTCCCAATGTTAACATCATATTCTCTCGCCACAGCCCAGTCCTGCCAGATTTTCAAACAAACTTTGGTGCTTTTGTCCATATTTTCATTTAGTTCTTGTGTTAAAGCAAAATTTCGTGCTTTTGTCCGTATTTTCATCTAGTTCCTCCAGGGCAATTTCATTTCACGCTTGCTTGTGTTTAAAATACCTTTCCGCCATTTTGTTTGTTTTGGGAAAATCATTAATTGTACTGCAGTACAATTAATGAAATAATTGTACTCCTCTCAACCAATCAGCTTCCAGTAATTTTGTCATGCTAATAATAAACTAGGTTATTACAACTGCTTCGAGAAGTTACCTTGTCCACACTTTTTGATATCGTCCGTTGTTTCCGTTTGTACTTCTTATATTCATTCACTGCTTTTAATTTACGGAACTCAGAGAACGCATGACCTAGGAGAAAAATTTTAGTGAAGTCGCTATTTAAATCTACATAAGTGTGGCGAATTTTGTAAAATGCCAAGTCCGTATTCGGATGATTTACGCTGGAAAATGGCATACCAAAGACTTTTTTATGAAAATAGCTGTGAACAAATTGCATTATTACAGCTATTTGTTTCTCCAATTTCTCTTCTGTTTATAGGATGATTAGGAACACGACGGGTGATGTGAAATACAATATCTTGGACTGCGACTTTACTTCGCATGCCTCAGATACATGCAGCTACATGAAATAGCAAATCACATCTCGAACGCTACTGGTCTCTGCATGTGGACCGAGACGCCGTGTCGAGCTGTCTACAGACTTGGAATAACGCGTAAGAACTAAGAAGGTAATCACATCATTGTCATTGAGAATATTATTTAACAGTTTATACATGCATATGACTATGAGCTATAATGTACTAAATACATAGCATATTGTTTCAATCTTAACCTTGAATGATATATCCTAATTAATCTTGAAAATTTGTGTTGTTTTCTCTACAACTAAATTTATCAAGTATTTGCTTTTGCAGATACAACGAACTGCCCTTCAGCGAAATGAGAATCTCAGACTCAGGCAACAATTCAAAGCCGAAATCAGAATCTTTAATCCCAACTAACTCGTTTTCCTCGATGAAACAGACATTGTATGTACAGTAAGCAATTTACTTCAATGACAATATCACTTAATTTATTGTAAAAAGCTGCTAAGAATTCGTGTACCTAATTTATTTGTATGTTTTGACAAACGAATAGCTAGAGGGTATGAATATAGCGCTCGGAGGATATCGCCAATTGTGAGCAATGTGAGGGACTATAGCTATTCACGCTGGGCACCTTATTTTTCCGCAATTTCCGCGATTTCAAGTAAACGGCTTCTTGTAACTGGTTGCCGAGAAATCCTGATGGAAGGTTTGATGCACGCTCCTTTATCGAGTTCCTTGATAAGCGGCTTTTACCAGCAATGCCAATGGGGACAACACGCGATCTGTTATCGTAATGGGTAAGAATTGTTGATGTAAATTTAGCTATCGAAACTCGGAGATCTTAACCATTCTTAACCATCACGATAACAGATCGCGGGTTTTCCCCATGATGATGTCCACTCGTGTGCGAACTTTGTTTACGTTTTGAACTGCTATATTTGTAAAATATGATATACTAACTGAATATATAACACTTTTCTGGTTCGCCATGCTTGTAAATGAATAAAAACTCTACGTTTCGATTCAAAAAAGTTCGAAAGATGCAAAATTTGGGCAATGTTTATATCTGGGGGTCCCTTTGTTATGAACAGAACTGATGCGCAGAACGGAGTGGACATCATTCATTGCTGGTAAAAGCCGCTCGTGAAGAAACTGGATAAAGGAGCGTGCATCAAATCTTTCATCAGGATTCTTCAGCAACCAGTTACACAGGAAGTCCTTTACTTGAAATAGCGGAAATTGCGGGAAAATGAGGAGCCCAGCGTGAATAGCTATAGTCCCTCACAACTGCATGACGATGTCCCCCGAACGTTATACCCACTCCCTCGAGCTATTCGTTTATCCTTCAACAAACATACAAGTAAAATAACTACACGAATTCTTGGTAGCTTTTTACAATAAAGTGACATTGTCAGCTGTTTACAATAAAGTGACATTGTCATTGAAGTAAATTGCTTACTGTACTGTACAGTACAAACAATGTCTGTTTCATCCAGGGAAACGCGTTGGTTGGGATTAAAGATACTGATTTCGTCTTTGAATTGTTGCCTGAGTCTGAGATTCTCGTTTCCCTGTGAGGCAGCTCGTTGTATCTGCAAAAGCAAATACTTGATATATTTAGTTGTATAGAGAAAAAAACTGCACACATTTTCAAGATTAATTGGGATATATCATTTAAGGTTAAGATTGAAACAATGTGCCATGCATTTAGTACATAATAACTCATAGTATATGCATGTATAAACTGTTAAATAAATATTCTCAATGACAATGATGTGATTACCTTCTTGTGCGTTATTCCAAGTCTGTAGACAGCTCGACACGGCGTCCTCAGGCCACATGCAGAGACCAGTAGCGTTCGAGATGTGATTTGCTATTTCATGTAGCTGCATGTATCTGAGGCATGCGAAGTAAACAGTCTATGATAATGATGCTTGTGATGTTACTCTGAGTATATATCCACACCGGGCGAGCTTGAAAAATACGCCCGGCCACAGTGGGAATCGAGCAGGGATTATTCTAAGGTGCAGTGATAACCAATTTGTGCAGTGATAAATGAGATTTGTGCAGTGATAAATTACATTATGTGCAGTTTTTACTGGGAATATTTTGAGTGAAAATATTTAACTCAAAATCATTGCAATCTGAGAGCTCATCTATACTGTTTGCCGACCTCCTGATCAATTTTAATTGATTTTAATTTTAATTTTAATGCTTAAAAGCATTCATATAATACTAATGTTTCGGAGGCATATTTATTCCGATCGGGTATCTCTCCTAGACGCCAAGTCGTGTTCAAGAAAATCACTTTTATGTCACCTTCATATGGTTAAACTGCTGCCGAGCGATTTTGTTTTTTGACGCTGTTTAAATAGTGTATAGTAATCTATATCACGAGTGTAAAAAAACTAGATCTTGAGCAATATCGCTTGGTGTTTTGCATGCGATTCAAAAAATATTTGAAAATGTGTATATTTTTGCATGTAATAGAATATGCAGCATGCAGATTTGGGCTCATTAGCGGTGATTTTAGCTCATTTGCCTGCATAAAATTAGTGACATGCATGCGGCAAACTTTAAGTTGCAGAACCAGAGTGCTGTATATACATGCATTTATGCAGGGCAGTCAGAACGTTTTCTAAAATGTCGCTAAATTTATATAAATTTGATCATTTTTCGCACTTTTGTGCAGTGATAAAATTTCCTTAGAATAATCCCTGGAATCGAACCTACGACCTTTGGAATACTAGCCCAATGCTCTGCCAACCAAGCTACGCGGTCAGGACGGTTTGAGTAAAGTAACACCGTAGAGTAACATCACAAACATCATATTCACCTGAGTACACAACACCAACACAGAAAAAAATCATATTACTAGATTACATTGGTATCGAAGGAACTGTTCCGAAATATCACTTACTCGAACCGTCCTGACCGCGTAGCTCAGTTGGCAGAGCATTGGGCTAGTATTCCAGAGGTCGTAGGTTCGATTCCCACTGTGGCCGGGCATATTTGTCAAGCTCGCCTGGTGTTGATATACACTCAGAGTAACATCACAAACATCATATTCACCTGAGTACACAACACCAACACAGCAAAAAAAACCGTCTATGATAATGGGTCGTTCCAGAAAAGGTCCATACCCCCCCCCCACGGAGGAAATTTGCGCTGTCCGGAGGGGGGGGGGCAAAAAAGTCTTAGGATGTCCGAAGGGGGGAGGGGAGATGCGGATTTACGATTGTCCGAAAGGTTAAAAGATTGTAAAAAGCTACTGTGATTTATTTACGCACGAAAAAGTTTAAATTCATAATTTAAATGTTACCATGAAATAACCAGGAAATAAATAAATTGTACATGCATTTGTTAACTTATTTGTTAAAAAATTATATGAACATGTCTGTATAAATACCATAAATACGCATGACTGAATATGAACATGTCTGTATCATTGTCTGTACTTAAAATATACGCACGTGTTCAGGCGTTCCGTTGGGGGAATATATCGAAACTGTGCTAACTGGTAAAGTAACTGGATTCAAGTTGGAAAATATTGTGATATATATTTTATATCTACTTTAAAATAAACTGGTAAGTGAACATATTTTCTTTTTTTTTTTTATTTATTTTCCCATGTATAAAAATCTACTTAAAATATATTACAATAATTTGAAGATGTTGGGCTAGAGACCTACTAGAAATCTTCATAGACTTTTTATTTTAGGTCTCTAGTTACTGTTCGTTTTATCACATAATCGATTATTTACAGTCAATCAATACATAATATTTAAAATCAGAAAGTTTTGAAGTATATACACTATATTTACAAGAGAGAAAAAGAAGTGGGAATGTTCGTATTATATAAATTAATAGTAATGTTGTAGATGCATTTAATTTTACAATGACAATGTTGGGCTACAATAGACTAAAGTATATGTCATTATATACATTAGAGAAGTATGTTTTATATATTGGTAATTGTGTATAGCAAAAAATGTTGTTTAATTCTCTTTTTAAAGGTGTTATAGGAGTTTACTTCATTAAGTTTTGTTTCTAACGAATTCCATACATCAACTCCTTTATTTGAGAGAGTGTGTTTTACATAATTTGTTCTTTTATAACATTTGTGAAGTTTTGATGCATTTCTCGTGTTATGTTCATGAATTTGGTTGTTTGTTACAAAATAATTTTTAAAGAAATCTGGTAAATTGCTAAGGTGGTGGTATCGAAACATAAATAAGGCAGTTAAATAGTCATTGATTTTGAAAATGTCTAGGATATTTAAATCTTTGAAAATTGGCTCACTGTGCTCTAAATAAGACTTGAAAGTCATTAGACGTACAATTTTTTTTTGTATGTTCATTATTTTTTGGATTCGACTTTTATAAGTATTACCCCATGTTAAGTTGCCGTATATCAAATATGGATAGACTAATGCATAATATATAAGTTTTAGAGTATTTCGATTTATGAAATGTCGTATTTTAGCTATTATACCAGCAGCTCTAATTATTTTCTTTGCTACTTTAGCTATATGATCTTTCCAGGTCAAACATTCGTCAATGATAATACCGAGGAAGGTTGTACTTTTAACTTGTTCAATATTTTTACCATTTATGTTAATTTTAATGGTTTGACTTGGTTTTTTATTTGGAGATCTGAATAAAATTATTTTTGTTTTTGTAGTATTTAGAGATAATTTATTCACATTTAACCATTCAGCAACTTCATCAATTTCTGTTTGTATAATATTACTAAGTGTCTTTAGACACTTGTTACTATAAAATATATTAGTGTCATCTGCAAATAATATAAATGAAATTAATTTGCTGCAATTTTCAATATCATTTATATAAAGCAGAAATAGAATTGGTCCAAGAATAGATCCCTGTGGGACACCACTCTTAATTACCATTTCTTTTGATTTAATTTGGTTGTATTTAACAATTTGTTTTCTATTCTTTAAGTAATCTTGAAACCATAATTGAGTTATTCCCCGTATACCATAGTGATCAAGTTTTTGAATCAATATCTTGTGATCAATTGTGTCAAAGGCTTTTGACAAGTCGAGGAAAATACCTATCGTGTATTCTCCTCTATCGATTGCTTTAGTAACTCTGTCAACAAGTTCTATGATTGCAAGCTCAGTGGATCTATTTTCCCTAAAACCATACTGATGCTGTGTTAATATGTTATTTTTTTCTATGTGGTTAATTAATCTCTTATACATAAGCTTTTCTAACAATTTAGAAAAACTAGTGAGAACAGATATGGGCCTATAATTCTTAAATTCATTGTTTTCGTTTGCTTTGAATATAGGGGTAACTAGAGCTATTTTTAGATCATCAGGAATAGTTCCAGAAAGAAAAGTCAAGTTAAATATGTGTGAAAGTGGTTCAGAAATTTCTGTAGCAATCGCTTTGATTACCTGTGAGCTTATACCGTCATAGCCAGGGCTTTTTTTGGCATTCAAATTGTTTATCTCATTTTCTAATTCATATTTAGTTATTGGATTAATAAAGAAGCTATTTTTACAGTTATTAGTGAGATATTTATCAAAGGTTGTTTTGGAATTCGGGAGTTTTTTTGCTAGTCCTGGGCTAATATTTACAAAATAGTCATTGAATCTATTT